CATATTACTGGATTTCAGCCAGTACGCGAGTTAGCCTTTAGGATGTTACCATACTGTTGATTAAGGAAGGGAGGAGAGCGCCCAGGTGCTGGATGCTTGCTGCTACAGCTTTTACATTAGCACAGTCTCTGTCCTGTGTGTGTTTAGTCGTTTAGTCGTGTCCGACTCTTCGTGACCCCATGGACCAGAGCACGCCAGGCCCTTCTGTCTTCTACTGCCTCCCAGAGTTGTGTCAAATTCATGTTGGTTGCTTCGCAGACACTGTCCAGCCATCTCATCCTCGGTCGTCCCCTTCTCCTCTTGCCGTCACACCTTCCTAACATCAAGGTTTTTTCCAAGGACTCTTTTCTTCTCATGAGGTCTCTGCTTTTCACGATGCTGTCCAGATTTGTCATCGCTTTCCTCCCAAGAAGAAGGCGTCTTTTAATTTCAGGGCTGCTGTCTCCATCTGCAGTGATCATGGAGCCCAGGAAGATAAAATTTGACACTGCCTCCATATCTTCCCCTTCTATTTCCCAGGAGGTGATGGGACCAGTGGCCATGATCTTAGTTTTTTTGATGTTGAGTTTCAGACCGTTTTTTGCACTTTCCTCTTTCACTCTCATTACAAGGTTCTTTAATTCCTCCTCACTTTCTGCCATCAGAGTGGTATCATCTGCATATCGGAGGTTGTTGATATTTCTTCCGGCAATCTTAATTCCGGCTTGGGTTTCTTCCAGTCCAGCCTTCCGCATGATGTATTCTGCATATAAGTTAAATAAGCTGGGGGACAATATACAGCCTTGCCGTACTCCTTTCCCAATTTTGAACCACTCAGTTGTTCCATGACCAGTTCTGACTGTTGCTTCCTGTCCCACATATAGGTTTCTCAGGAGATGGATAAGGTGGTCAGGCACTCCCATTTCTTTAAGGACTTGCCATAGTTTGCTGTGGTCCACACAGTCAAAGGCTTTTGCATAGTCAATGAAGCAGAAGTAGATATTTTTCTGGAACTCTCTGGCTTTCTCCATAATCCAGCGCAAGTTAGCAATTTGGTCTCGAGTTCCTCTGCCTCTTCGGAATCCAGCTTGTACTTCTGGGAGTTCTCGGTCCACATACTGCTGAAGCCTACCTTGTAGGATTTTGAGCATAACCTTGCTAGCGTGTGAAATGAGTGCAATTGTACGGTAGTTGGAGCATTCTTTGGCACTGCCTTTCTTTGGGATTGGGATGTAGACTGATCTTTTCCAATCCTCTGGCCACTGTTGAGTTTTCCAAACTTGCTGGCATATTGAATGTAGCACCTTAACAGCATCATCTTTCAAGCTTTTAAATAGTTCAACTGGAATGCCATCACCTCCACTGGCCTTGTTGTTAGCCAGGCTTTCTAAGGCCCACTTGACTTCGCTCTCCAGGATGTCTGGCTCAAGGTCAGCAACTACATTGTCTGGGTTGTCCGGGATATCCAACTCTTTCTGATATAATTCCTCTGTGTATTCTTGCCACCTCTTCTTGACGTCTTCTGCTTCTGTTAGGTCCCTTCCATTTTTGTCTTTTATCATGTTCATCTTTGCGCAAAATGTTCCTCTATTATGTCCAATTTTCCTGAACAGATCTCTGGTCTTTCCTTTTCTGTTATCTTCCTCTATTTCTTTGCATTGTTCATTTAAGAAGGCCCTCTTGTCTCTCCTTGCTATTCTTTGGAAGTCTGCATTCAAGTTTCTGTAGCTTTCCCTATCTCCCTTACATTTTGCTTCCCTTCTCCTCTCTGCTGTTTCTAAGGCCTCATTGGACAGCCACTTTGCTTTCTTGCATTTCCTTTTCTTTGGGATGGTTTTTGTTGCTGCCTCCTGGACAATGTTACGAGCCTCTATCCAAAGTTCTTCAGGCACTCTGTTCACCAAATCTAGTTCCTTAAATCTGTTCTTTACTTCCACTGTGTATTCATAAGGGATTTGGTTTAGATTATACCTGAGTGGCCCAGTGGTTTTTCCTAATCTCTTCAGTCTAAGCTTGAATTTTGCTATGAGAAGCTGATGATCAGAACTGCAGTCAGCTCCAGGTCTTGTTTTTGCTGACTGTATATAGCTTCTCCATCTTTGGCTGCAGAGAATATAGTCAATCTGATTTCGATATTGCCCATCTGGTGATTTCCATGTATAGAGTCGCCTCTTGTGTTGTTGGAAAAGAGTGTTTGTGATGACCAGCTTATTCTCTTGACAAAACTCTATTAGCCTTTGTCCTGCTTCGTTCTGAACTCCAAGGCCAAACTTCCCTGTTGTTCCTTTTATCTCTTGGCTCCCTACTTTAGCATTCCAGTCCCCTAGAATGAGAAGAACATCTTTCTTTGGTGTCAGTCTCTGTCCTACTGGTCCATATTTTGCACATGATCTTATGCAATAGGTACCTTGTGCATTGCTACCTACAGAGTCTTACCTGAAGGCACCCAAACAGTAACAAATGAACCTGGAAGGCAGAAGCATACAAAGACAGAATACACTGAACAACAGAAGACTGTAGAGCTTGAACATACCTTAATGTATTGTAAGCCACCTGGAGTCTCTGTGATAGAACCGGGGTAACAATATTTAAAACACAACAACCAGAATGTACTAGCCTGGGGAGATCACAGCATTCAGGTGGATGAAGGAATGGACCTCCTTCTTACAGGCGGATAGGGATGATGTTATTAGTGATTTTATCTTCCACTATGACTAAAGGGCATTGCATCAGATCCATTTTGTCTTTCCTGAGGAAAGTTTTGAGTTGAGAGTAGGGAGAAGGTAAAGTTGCCAGTGGTATATTTCCTCCTCCACCTTCCAGGGCAGTATTCTGCCTTGTTTCTTTGACACACTCTTTGTGTGAGAGTTAATGGTGGGGTGACAATGGGACAAAATGTCTGTAATAATGGCCCTCAATTCTTGAAGTCTTTTATCTGTCTTCACCGACACTGAAATATGAGGTACAAGTAGAAAGCCGAGTGAGAGAGCAAGTACCACATTATCTGTCTTCTTATGCAACAGATACCTTACTCCTCTTTAAAAAGAAGCTGGGTGTTTCACTTAGAAGGGCAAATCTCAGTAATAGGTGGATACTCTATTCTATTTCTCCTTTCAGCTTTAATCTAGTTCTGTCATTTGAGACTGCCCTATTTGTCCTTTGCTCTTGCCCAGTAGCTGGTTGAGTGCTTTCTGACCTGGGAGTCTCATCTTCCAGCACCATCTCTTGTTTCATTTGGACTGTCTCATCATAGGGTTTTCTTGATAAGAAAAGTTCAGCAGGGGTTTACCATTGCCACCTTCTACGCAGTACTAACAAAAGTTAGCTTGAGTGGGACTGCTATTGCTTCCTCTGCCACTGCCACCTTCAGCTACTGCTGCCGTCCAGTAGCTGCCTTGAAGAGGCTGGATGCATCTTAGTCTGGTGTCTCAGGTGTGACCCTTCTGCCTTGAGGGGCCCTGAAGGAGTCTAGGCTCAGCATGGGGTCTGGCTTCCTGATCCCATTGCTCTCAGCTTCCCTAACACACTGAAACCCCAAACCGTGTCACCACACTAAGGGGTGCATCCAAGAAAGGGCTTTCAAGAATACAGTACATGTTATAAAACTTTCATGCGAGGTAGGGGGAGTGACAAAAAGCTGTCAAGGGGCCTACTTACAGTCTCTCTCCTCTCTACAGATAGAAAAGTCTTGTCCCCTTCCCCCCCCCAAAGTATCTGTTAATTAGGAGACTAAAATTTGAAATGTCTCATTGTTTGCTTTTTTAAAAACCAAGTTCCGAACTTTTATTTTGCTATACAGTAGTTGTGTTCTGACTACAGCATACTAGTAGGAATAACTAAAACTCTTAAAGTGGTTGGTTTACGGTTCAAACAAAAGTCTCTCCAATCTCCCTTCAACCCCACCCCCCCTCTTCTTTTCTTTCTTTTCTCTTCTGGAGTCCTCCGCCATGCTGGTGAGGCTATTCTGTGAACTTTAGTCCTCCACTTCAGTCCACAAAAGTTAACACTCCTCTCTCTCTGTCTCTGTCAGGAGGTTGGGAGACCTTCAATCCCCAGCCTCTTCTCAAACAACAAGGGTTAAGCGCTGGATTAGGAGTTTGCGGGGAAGGTAAACCACAGCTTGGTCCCGCTCTTCGCCTTTGCCTCCAAAAGGAAAAGAGCGACCCGTAGGGCGGAGGTTGCAGGTGCTGCAAAACAGGCTGCCTGAGCTTTTCTCCTCCCACGGGAATTTCGAGGGCGGGCCGGCGAGAAGACGGAGAGCTAGTATTCCCTTCCGCCTGCCCAATAAGAGACAGGATAAAGGGCGTGGCCTCCAGCCCTTGATTCGGGAAGGCCCTCGAGTTACAGAGCCCCAAGGGTGTGGCCAAGGCAAGCGTGCGCCTATTTATGTATTTCAAAGAGGGGCGTGGTTATACTCCGGTAGAAGGCGTGTCCTACGATTGGATAGGGGGAGCTGGGGCGGAGCCCAGCGGGTTGGGTCGGGCTGCTGCAAGCCGAACGGGCAGAAGCTGCCGAGCTGCGCGGTGCTGCGGCTCGGCCAGGGAGAGGCGTCGTGATTG